GTGTGTGTGTATCTATCTGTCTTTACTTGTGTATGCATACCCATGTGCTATAAATCCTATAATCAATATCATATTACATTTTATCTAATCATATATATATATATATATATATATATATTTATATGATTTCATGCATAATTGTGTAATATTTCCTATCATCAATATCATATTTTTAAAGATATATATGAATGTGTTAGATTGCATAAATGATTTCTGGATAACATAACAAGATAACACTGTATCCAATATAAATAGTTATATATCACTGGAATTATCAGAGTTCATAGTCCACTACTGTATCATGATCCCTTTAGTTATACCAAATATGTGGGTGAGACACCAAGGCACCTTGTATTTACCCCAAAAATAATGTGATAAGCATTACATATCAGTATCTGAATGTTATGAAATCAATGAGTATCAACATATTGATGCAGAGTTCAATAGTTATTAAAAAAGAAAATTTCCAAAAATACAATACATGAAAAAAATAAACTTATAAACAAATTTGCGGTTGTAATAATTGATAAAGACATGTACAACAGGCATTTAATAATAATAAAATCAAACATAAATGCAACACCAATAATATTTTCAACAATATTTACTTCCAAACAAACATTCTTAAAATGTAATGAATATGAGCATCTTCCTCATGAACGATCCAACCTATTATAAGGCAGGACCTTTCCTTCATGCAACATGTTTAATATGTGATTATTTGTGTGAATATCGATTGCAGAAATTGTTATTTGGTATGATAAGCTAGTATTTGAGACTTGTTCATTGACACGTGTTTAGTCTACCTTTGCCTACAGTTTGTTTCAACATATTTGTATTGTACGGACTGTAAAACAATGATTACTCGTGATACTTTGAGATATTTTCTGTCAAAAAAAAAGCGTTGCCAAAAAGACCGGAATACCAGTTTGGTAGTTAGCTGTTGTTTATACAGCGAATAAGGCCTATATTTGTGTGTCTCAGTGTTTATACAGCGAATAAGGCCTATATTGTGTGTGTATCATTACGCATAGAGTCCATTTCTGTGTGACACAGTCCAAGGCTCGGCCGTGTAGGTCTCCCCGAGGCAAGAGCAAAGTAAAGTAACGTGAAATGAAATGGATTGGATTTGATTTGTTATGTTTTGTTGTTTTTTGATTTGACTCTGTCTTTTTAATTTGGTTTGTTGTTGTTTGTGTTTTTTGTTGTTGGGTCCCCCCTCCCCTCCCCCCCTGTTTGTTTGTTGTTATTGGTGTTGGTGTATGTTTCTTGTTCCTTTGATCTTTTGTTGTTGTTTTCGTGTGTTTGTGCCTACATGTAACTGTGTTTGTTTCTTTGTCTATCTTTGTGTCGGTCGTGTAAGCTAGCCTCCAGATTGATTGATAGATGGTTATTAGGTAAGTGATTGACTGACTACATTTTTTGTTGTGTTTGTTGTTTGGTCCTTGTGTATGATTATGCTGTGGTGTGGTGTGGTCTGCTCTGCTGTGTTCATGCTTGATACAAGTAGTTGTTTGTTTTGTCTTTGTCTTTGGTTTGGTTTGTGTGTGAGATGTGTATTGACTTTGAATCTGGTTGTACATTGTGATTGATTGATTGAGTGAGTGTGACTGAATGAATGGTTTGAATGTGTGTATGTGACAAAGCTCTGATATTCTTTCACTTATATTCCATAAACGTTTATGACTGACCTACTCACAATACTTCAGTTATTCACAATTGGTGATTTTCTTTGTGTTACTTCGTTAATGCATATATGTATAACTAACTAACAAACATACTATTAATTTAAAGCAAACAAACATGTGCATCCCCAATATGATGCTCACTTCATCTGCAACATTGACGCTACTATTGATTATTCAATATTGTTTGTCAAGCTATCCTTGTAGTTAATTAGTAATTAACACAAATCCACCACCCCTCGTACACACACAAAAAACTATATAACGGTCAATAAATGTATACAAACAACCAACATCTATATATCAAGTCGAGTCGTGTCAGCCAAAAATTATTGATATGACTTGAATAATAGACACCCACTCATAAATAACCGTCAACATAAGAGTGTGTGTTTTGTTTTAAAATAGTCACCCCTTACAACATGGATCTATTTCACTCTCTGATACCCAAACAAGTTGCCATAGGCCTATCATTGCATTGATTCTATCCATGTATGAATGTATGGTAAACTCTGTCATTCTTTCTTTGTAAGTAAATGATTTTTGCCCACAAACATGCTCCCTCTAACGCCGACAAGCCCAAAAGCTAACGAAATCAAAGACTTAAAATAAAGCACGATCAACTCCATTCAGTCAACGATGATATCTCTGTAATAATTTTAGGACCTAAGATAGGTCCAAGGTTTTTGGTGGTAATGGTTGTCGTTTGGTGGTTGACGTTTTCGATCTTGTTGAAAACGTTTAACCTTCCGCCCGTCCGTCGTTAGAGACGTAGACGACGTCCATGGCGGTGACGGTCTTCCTCTTGGCGTGCTCGGTGTATGTGACGGCGTCACGGATCACGTTCTCGAGGAATACCTTGAGGACCACGGGTTTCTTCGTAGATGAGACCAGAGATACGCTTGACACCTCCACGACGGGCAAGACGACGGATGGCAGGCTTGGTGATACCCTGGATGTTATCACGCAACACCTTGCGATGACGCTTGGCGCCCCCCTTTCCGAGACCCTTTCCGCCCTTTCCACGTCCAGTCATGGTAGCGACTTGTCTTGCTGCGAGTAAACGAGAAGATGATCCGCCCTGGCAAACCCTAGCAATGGTACCTGTCCCTACCCTCGCGTAGCGCTCAGGCTTGCCGCATCAACCGGCCGCTCATCTTAACCGCCCGCTCTAAGCAAATAAACTTGTTTACACCTTCCAATCCATCCAAAGTCACCTGACCCATTACACGCATGTGTTTGCAATCACCTTTTTGATGACATCCTGTATTAATTGTCCCATTTCTCATCAAGGATTTCCTTTGATCACAGGTAAAGTTGGCCAGGTCTCTGGTCCTGCTTACACCGGGGAAATGGGCGGCGCCAACGCACACTGTGCCAGCCACACACTTCTCCGCACGGCCAAGCCCGCTCTGGTATAAATTCAGCTCTTGAAAAGCCGGCCAGACTGTTTCCAAACAATCATTCGCAATGGCTCGTACCAAGCAGACTGCCCGCAAGTCTACCGGAGGCAAGGCCCCCCGCAAGCAGCTGGCCACCAAGGCAGCACGTAAGTCTGCCCCTGCTACCGGAGGTGTCAAGAAGCCCCATCGTTACAGGCCTGGTACTGTTGCCCTTCGTGAGATCCGTCGTTACCAGAAGAGCACTGAGCTCCTCATCCGCAAGCTGCCCTTCCAGCGCCTCGTCCGTGAGATTGCCCAGGACTTCAAGACTGACCTCCGCTTCCAGTCCTCTGCTGTCATGGCTCTGCAGGAAGCCTCCGAGGCTTACCTGGTCGGCCTCTTCGAGGACACCAACCTGTGCGCCATCCACGCCAAGCGGGTAACCATTATGCCCAAGGATATCCAACTTGCTCGCCGTATCCGCGGAGAGCGCGCCTAAGATTTTGGTTGCTAGCTTGCTTGCATACATCAAAATCATCCTCCTCGGCCCTTTTCAGGGCCTAAACTAATTAATATTGAGATGAAAACATGACATGCTTCCTTTTTTTCTTGTTTGCTTTAGTCTTAGATGTCAAATGTAACCAGCAATGACGAATAGAATCAATGATATTGCATAGATAGATAGATAGATAGGTATGCAACTAGTAAGGTAAGGCACGAAGCCATGCATGACTGACTTTCAACATGTTGTCAACGCACTTGATTTCCTTATCGTATACGTTTCGGTATGAGTACTATGCCAAATATCAATACTACAACAATATACATGTAATATTTGTCGAGCGACCGACCGGCAAACAGACATACAGACACACACTGTCTTAAACATAAGTCATTCATTACTAAATATAATAATAATGTGACAAACAGACTGACTAAAATATTGACTATATGTTAATGACCGACTTCAAAGTTCAAAAACAAACACACTTGTGTGTAGGCAATAATCAATATACAACAATAAACACTGTACAATCACCAAACACCCCACCTAACCTACCTCAACCAATATATTATATAATATTTTATAAAAACACTAAGAAATATACAATTACAAATCAAAGCTTGCGGCAACCATTAAAGCACGTGCTTATATCCCCGCATATTTTATCTTGTTTGCTTGTTTATGTGTATAATAATAATGTTATATAACATTGAAGATCGAATGACACATGCTGTTTTTTGTATATTATAAATCAATATAATGTCTTGACAAATCTATCTATCTATATAATACACACACACACCTACAACATAGACATATATACGTACATTATATATATAATATATATAGAACTATATACATAATATATCAAATATATATATATATATATATATATAATATATATAATATATATATATATATATATATATCTGTATACATATACACATGTATGTCTAATATAAATCTATTCACCCACTCTCTGTCTCTTACATTAATACATACCCTATTCATTGATATGCTATGCATAATGCATGTGTTATATTTCTAATTATGGAAGACATATATGTTACTATGATATACAGGCATATATACTTTCAACATATATTTCTATACATCTATATATATATTCACACACAGCTTCATCTCTCTCTCTCTCTCTCTCTCTCTCTCTCTCTCTCTCTCTCGATATCACACACACACACACACACACTTCCTCTATCCTTAATACATACATACAGACAGACAGACACACAGACAAACACACACACACACACACACACTTCAGTAAAACGATTAAAATGAATCCCTTACTCGAAATCTAACGATTCAAACGACTATTACATTGATATATATGTTGATATTACTGTACTTTGAAAGAATGCACAAGGCAAATTGGTTAATGTCATTTCTATCTACTTTTGCATGTTCTGTGGCTCCTAAAGGAGCCGATGTTGTTGTAGGAGACCGGAGAAACCGAGCAACCAAGCAATTTACTTAGAGGAAGTGTACTTGGTGACGGCCTTGGTGCCCTCGCTGACAGCGTGCTTGGCCAGTTCACCGGGGAGCAGAAGCCTGACGGCGGTCTGAATCTCCCGGCTGGTGATGGTGGAACGCTTGTTGTAGTGGGCAAGGCGGGAAGCCTCAGCGGCAATGCGCTCAAAAATGTCATTCACGAAAGAATTCATGATGGACATGGCCTTGGAGGAGATACCGGTGTCAGGGTGGACCTGCTTCAACACCTTGTAGATGTAGATGCTGTAGCTCTCCTTCCTCCTGCGCTTCTTCTTCTTATCACCCTTGGTGATAGACTTTTGGGCCTTACCGGCCTTCTTGGCAGCCTTTCCGGAAGTCTTGGGTGGCATGATTGACAACACTCGCAAGAGGTATTGCTATAAACTCCAAACTATGATTTTTCCTTTTATAGTGCACCACCAGCGCCAGCCTCG